AAGATAAGAATAGATAAATAAAATATATAATTATAATAAAACTAAATGATAAAGATTTTAAAATGGAATTAGAGAAAATAAATTGGTGAATAGAAAATTCTTACAATTTGTTATTATTTTTTAATAAAAAATAAATGCAAATTTATAAAATGTAATAAATTTCAAATTTAAATTACATATACCGTTCAAACTAAATATATACAAAAAATGAATAGTTATTAGTTTTATAAAAATAATAAGTATTAAATAAAAAATTTGGAATAAAACATAAACAAAACATAAAATATATGGTTAGTAGAACATTGATCAAATATAAATAACAAATAGTAGATAGTTTAATGAAAGTTAATCATTTGGTTAAATATAAACATGGAGTGAGAAATAATTTAATTAATATATATACATATGTGTTTATTCGATTTTTTACTTTTTATATGGGTGACCTTAAATTAACATTTACAACTGAGGATGTCATGACTTGGTAAAAAAAACGTCTTAAATATTGATCCATATATATTTTTTTAATAAATATTCAGAAATCTCAACTCATTTAATTATTTAGTTTGTTTATTCAATCGCGTATTTATATAAATTATTTACGAAATTACAAAAAAATATTTATATATAAATATATAGAGACATATCCCTAATATTTAAAAAAGAACTATTTATAAGTTTTAATAAAATTTCAAACAAAATACCCCATTAAAATTTTCCCATAAGCCTTCTTTATTTTTTATTTTTACTTCTTTTTTTATATGACTTTAATTTTAAACAATTCTTATTATTTTGTCCATTTTTCCTATATAATTATCCTACAAATAAATATGTTATTATACATATTTATTTCATTTTCTATTTGATTTTATAGAGAAACCAATAGACAAATTTTTTTTTTTCAAAATTTTGTATTGATGTCTGAAGATAGTGATAAAATATCAACCGTATCAAATTTTCGGTTAATCTTTCAATGTATAAATAAATTGATTTGGATGATATAATCATTTTTCAAGTGATTGTACAATTTATTAGTTTCTTATATTTTATATTTTATATATATATATTATTGTTGCCTGATGAAATTTTATTTAAGTTCATTACTGTTTAAGAATATATTTTTTATTTATATTTTTACCATGTAACTAATTTTTTTGGTAGAGAGAAGAACAAAGATCGATATTAAGTATAATCAGAATAAATCATTGACACTGAATCTATGTAACGTTTATACAATGACTATCATATTCTTTCACCTCTTCTATACAAAGGTGAAGTTATAATATTTAATTTTATACATATATATTTTATATCAAATAAATTATTTATCTTATTTTATTATATTAATATCATTAAATTTTATAAAAAATCATAACAACCCGCGCATCGCGCGGGTCCTCAACTAGTAAGTAAAATAAATAAGAATAAATTTAAAAGAAATCACGCTTGACCGTGTGTAACGTGAGTAATAATGCATGACCGCTTGTGATTGGAAAATCTTGTCAGGGTAGATGTCATAACATTGACATTACTCGGATGAGTTTGGGTATTGTTCAATATGTGTTTGTAGATGGGTTTTTGAGTGATATCACGATGATTGCCTTGACTGTAAATCTTCGTGGTATGATATTCGATCCGGATCGATTATCATCTCGTGGAGACGTGATTGTGATTGTGGCGATCTTCGATCGCGCCATCGTTCCGTGACGAATGGTTATGGCATCATGCGACTCACGTATTCGGGTTTGCGTGTGTCACTCGAATATGTGACGAGGAAGTACGGTTCTTTGGCAACCGCGCCAGTGTTCCATTGGCCATGGAACAAACTTTGGGTTTGCGTGTGTCACACGTTAATTGACAAATAAACATGAGACCCGGATATTTGCATGTGTCCCCCGGCGATGTGGTACGGACATACTCTGAAAGACTTGAGCTTGGGTCTGATGAGTATTTTCCGAGACAGATGGTCGGCGAAGGGGAGTTAGCAGCTTCTCCCGGCAGTCGGCGGCATCGGGAATCGATGTCTGGAGTGGGTATGGGGTGACCGGTACCGAGAGCCGTGATATCGGTGACCGATGAGGAGTATGAAGATCACTTGAGGTCATCGCAAACGATTTTGCTTGGACTTATGCGCCTTGTGTTCGACACGGGCATGAATGACTGTTTCAATTTTCCTACTATTTTATATTTCAAAATTTTACGGTTATGATTTTATTTATCCATGTGGCACTTCCTGTATGCGGGATACGGGATGTGGATATCACATGTAATGTTTTAGGTACATATAGGATACAAAAAAAAACTGTGTTGAAATTTCATCCGGACAGAGTAAGAGGCGACCTGTGACAGCAAGTTGAAGTAGAAGAAAGGTTTAAGGCTTATTACTCAATCAAGGATAAATTCCAATCAACTTACCCACCAAGAGTTGCTTACTCACACTATTAATCTCTTTTGGTCCTTTAGATTTGAATCCGAAGAAAAAAGGGAAAGAAATTTACACTTAATTCCGTAGATATTTTTAGGGTTTTTTTTAGAAAGTAGTGAGCGATCGATTTTACTACAAAATTTTGTGGTGTATTTGTTTGAGAGACAATGTAAATAACAAAATCAAAAGTCTTATCTTCTTGCCTTTGACTGTATAGAGTTGTCCTGACATGAAACCATGTTCTTGTTTTTGGATGAAGACTAGAGCTTTGAACTCCTCTGCCTATTCTGCATTGATATTGTTGAAGAATGAAACATTGATGGCCGACGTGGAAAATACTTAAGAAGTTAAAATAAAAAAGACAAAACATAAGAACTGCCATGTTCATGGAATGAAATATAAACATAAACTTCTTCTTAATCTCTATTAACTATACTAGATTATTCTTTTTTGGGTAAAACCCCTAAAAAACCTCCAACTTGCAAAAATATATATAAATAAAATTCAATTTGAAAAGTTGTCATTCAATCCCCGAATTTGTAACTTGTCACTGAATAAAACCTCGAACTTGCAAATTATTGCTCTAATAAACCTTTGACCGGTTTCACCACAATTTCAAACGATCGGAAATCTACGTATTGACGGATTGCTGATGTCATTTTTTAAATTAAAATTGATAACATGTATAAGATGACATCAGCAATCCATTAATACGTGGATTTCCGATCGCATGAAATTGTGGTCAAACTGGTCAAATGTTTATTAGAGTAATAATTTGCAAGTTCGAGGTTTTATTCAATGACAAATTACAAGTTCGGGGATTGAATGATAGTTTTTCAAGTTGAAAGTTTATTTGTATATATTTTTGCAAGTTGGAGGTTTTTTTAGGGGTTTTACCTTTCTTTTTTGGTCTTTTCATCAATCTTTCTTTTACTGAATTTCAACCGATTGTGCTGTTTTTTTTTCGAACACAACATCAAATTCTTTATGTTCCTCTATTTTTTTTTCACTTTCCATATCAGATCAATATCTATATTGCAGAAGATCTTGGGTTAATTACATGATCTGTGACATAATTATACACATGATTAATCAATATTAGATAAACAATAACTCATTTGTTAAGCGTGATTATCGAGGTTTAAATGCTAGTTATTCTAGTTATATTAGAATTTGTTAGAGCATTGCGAAGAAAGAAATATTACAGTAAAATCTCCTCTGTTGTTTTCTCTCATTTTGTGAGGAATCAAACACTTTTTTTTTCCAATTCTTATAATCCATATATGGTTTTTGATTATTGAAAAATCTCCGATTTATGAGTCATAGGTTCATCTAATTAAGTTCGTTTTCAGCTTTCCGGGAATATCATCAGACAGAGACAAATCTGTTAATTTAGCTTTGATTTTTATAATATTTTAGATAAATGGATTTATTATTATGCTGTGTTCGAATTCCTAACGAAGAAGACACTCATGTCAAGGTTTCTGGAACCAGACCCTCCCATCACCAAACCTCTGTTGGCAGTAACTTAGCGCCCAAGGTATCTGCAGATTCTAAACCCTAGTTTTCTTTTTTTTCTTCCTTTTTTGTTACATGTCTAAGCGTTGAATTTATTATGAGTTAGTGAGTTTTTATTAGTTCTTATTCAAAGATTAGTAGATGTATATATATATATATATACTGCATTGTATTGCTGATTTCTCAAAATGAACACAACAGAGACTCAACAAAATTTGTTTCATCTTCATCTCTCATGGTCATCCTACTATGTTTTGGATCTGTAAATATATGGAAAGTGTCAGAATTAGTCGATGTTAAATTGTTTGTCATTCGTTTTCAGTCTGAATAAATTTCGAGAAATCGTATCCTGAATTCACAGGAAAGAGATCCAACTTCTAGTTTCGGAAACGATCTCTCGAAATCATCAAACATGACATTATCTTGGACACCTCAAACTCAGTCTGCCCATACGACAGAAGACGAAGATGTCTGCTCGACGTGTTTCGAAGGTAAAACAATGGGATTCCCAACTGTTTCTGTCTGAACTCAATATATGTTTGATTACAATCCTTTTGTGGTCTTTGGAGATAGATTATACAGACAAGAATCCCAAGGCACATCTAAAATGTGGCCACATTTTCCACCGTAAATGCATTTATGAATGGATGGAGAAAAGTGAAGCCTGTCCCTTCTGTGCCAATGTACGTATACATACACATATATACATATATACACACATATTTATATACATGTGTGGATATAGTTAATTATTCTGGAAACTCGATGTTTGCAGAAGATGCTCTTCTCGGAGACATGAAATGTCAAGGCTAAATGTGAAGCTTTATTTGTCACTTTTAGTTTCTGATATGTTTTCTCAGAAAAATCTAATTTAATTTTTCTGTCTTAGCTTTATGACATATATATATTATTAAAGATATGTACACCAATTTCATAAAATATAATATTCATTCGTGTATACTAATGCAAATCCCATTTATATTGTTAATAACAACAAAAAAATTGAGATTAAACCTTATGGTTATTATAATGATAACTCAATAGACAGACATTCAAATAATTGCAATTATATAATAGGACGATAAAGATTGGAGAAATTTTGTTTTCCCACATTGTTGTCGTACATAGTGCCAAAAGCAAGAGCTTAGGAAGAAGCTTGCTACTTATAAATGCGAATTAAGACTTACATATAAATAATTATATAGGTAAAAATGTAACAGATAGTCATAATAAATTATGGCTATTTGCTATTATTATACTACATATATATATAGATATAGATTATTATGTGAAACAGCCAAGGTTGCAATTGAAAATGGGTTCAAGAGTCAGATCGAGATCGTTCCTCCTCAGCTCAGAAGGATCTTCTTGGTACATTCCACTGCATCACAATGATATACAATAAAGGTTTATTATTCACATACATTTTTATACATATATGATATATATACTAAACACTTCATCCAATCGGTCAGAACCGGTTATCAATAGCTCTACGAAACATACCCTATGATATATATATCTTAAATATAAACATAGAGTTAAGTACAGAATCAATTTTAACACATTGACACAAGATGTAACTTATTATCTGCACTTAATATGTATGATTCTATATGTAATATATCCGGTTAGATAGATAAAGGGAAGTGACCTAATAACAGAAGCTAGGATGGTCATTTTAGATTTCGGTTCGATTATATTTAGATACGAAAAAATTATAACTGTTCAATTTTAATATTGAATTCGGTTAGACTTGATTCGTATTGAAAAAAATACTCAGTTTCAAAGAAATTTCGGCTCGGGTTCGTTTTCTTCAATTAAAAATATTATAATCATTCAGTTTTTATATCGAGACCAATTACAATTACGGTTATGTTTTATTTGGTTGAAATAATTTCGGTTATTAACCAAATTGGCTATCCCTATGAACCATGACAAGATGAACATTACCCCATGTTGAGAAAAAGAGAAGCCTCGTGAGGGAACATGAAAGGGTGGTGCGGAGGAGGAGGAGGCGGTGCCACCGGCGGCTGAAAATTGTGGCCATGGCTCTGCTGCTCCCAGTGATCATGTTGCGCCTTTAGAATCTTCTCCCTCTCCTTGATCTACCAAATTTCCAGTTTCACACACATAACAAAGCATCACCAAACTTGTATCAAAATTTGTTTGTCAAGTAGAAGCATACATACATACATACATACATACATACATACACACACACACACACACATATGGTTGTTAAAATCCCAAGCCAACACATAAGTTTCCATTTGCCAGATTCAAAATGAATAACATATATATATATATATATATATATATTGTATACAATCATGCTGCTGTATAGTTTGGTGGCTTTTAAATATTCAGTCGAAAAATCCATATCAGTCAAAGTAGACAAGTCCCTCAACAGGCTTCATTGTGAAGATACTAATCAAGAGCAATAGGAAGCTATACAAAACATGCACATATAAGATTTTTTTATATACAAATTATAACACAGACCGAGACTGTGAAGGAGACGTTCCCTTATGATGATTGCTGCAATTTTATGAGATTTCAAATCGGAGTATTTCGACCAGGGAACAACCTTAATACTAACCGGACAAAACCCAGCTACGTGAAACCTGATGACTACACTAACCAAAGAGAATATTCTAACAAGAAGCTTTTTAAAGCATAAAAACGGACGTATCGAGAGATAGGTAATAGAGGTAGAATGTGTATAGTGGACGCAATAGTGGTATAACAGTGAGAAAAAGAGACGACACCTGCTTGGCAAGCATGCTGTTTTGCTCTTGTATCGCCTTCTCCTGTCATTTCCCAAACGGCACGATTGTTAGCTCTGCCGTACGTATTCTACACGCTGTTTTCATATTCATACAACCTGTAACGGACTAGTATCTTATATATATATATATATATATGTATATATGTATATATAACCAAGACAATAATCAAGAAGTGGCGTTATTACCACTTGAACTGGAAGAAACAGTAAACGAATCCGCTTGAACAAATGAATGTGAACACAATTTAGTGCTCTTGATCGATTATATATATATTTGTCTCTCCCGAACACTATTGTCCACGTAATTGTGTTCTTTTGATGTCACATATATGTAACATGCATTCTAAATATGTATGTAACATGCCCACACGCGTACTTGGGATTCGAATTGAGAGATGAAGTGATTTTTTTCTAACCTTCCTCTGCAGCTCGTTGATGGACTCGGACATGAGTTGATTCTGCATATAACCCAATCAACGTTAACTCTTGTCTTACACAAGACATGGACCGTTTCTATATATGTATAACAAGACCACACCCTCTATATATAACGACTTCGATATGTTGATATCAAACTAAATATATTCTTATGTTTTGTTTTATTTGAAAAAGGAAGAATATTTACAAAAAAAAAAAGAGAAGAAAGAATGTTTAGGCATATATACCTTTCTAGAACGGATGTGCTTAAGAGAAGTATCCAGCTGCTGCTCAAGATTCTGAAGTTCCTTGAGGCTCATTGAGTCCAAGTCTTCTCCCAGGTAATGCCTGCAATTGATGAAATCATATAGATTTATATATTAAAAACAATAATATATGTGTGTATGTATTGGTGAGTATACCTTAGGTTTTTCTCCAGAAGCTCAATCTTAGCCTTAAGCCTGTAAAACTCCATGGTCCAGTTCCCCTGCACCTTACAACGTTTCGCATGTAAGCGATATACGGAACCAATCATTTTTCATGGATGCGATTGATTAGTTGAAGACATGCATGCATATGTGTATATATATATATATATGTATACACATGCTTTGACAGGGAAAAAAAACCCCAGAAAGATCCGCTCAGTATACGTTGGATGGAAAATATACATTTATGTCAGCGTCAGGAGCAACAAGCTGTCTCTCGGCGTAATTGTACCTCTCATAGCGTTCAAGAATCTTCTCCATGCTGTTTTTTTTTTCTCAACACAAACTAGGGTTAGCTTCCACACAAAGCATGCACATTTATATATTATGAACATATGAATACACTATGTACATATATACGGGCAAACTATTTCTTTTTCATTTACAAGAATCAAAACTAATAAATTTTATAAATAAACCATATTAGACACCATGAATTAGCCATATGCATTATTTTTCTTCTCGGGTAAAATCAAAGACCTACACACTTCACACAAGGGGCTTGCAATTTAACAGACTATATAACTGGCTGTACCAAGAGAACAATAGTTCTGTTCTGCTAGAACCAAGTTTCCTTCTGCATTTTGAACCTTAACATGAAAGTGAAGTTAGTGTTCTTTTAGACATCTAATGTACTTGTAGAGATACATTAAACGAGCACAAGACATCTTTTCCTTAACCATGGGGTGGTATGTTTAACTCTCTAGCAAACTTACTTACGGAGAGGAATACGACTTTTCTAGTATTGAAGTTCTGCTAAAACCGTTTAGATTCAATTGAAAACCCTTAAAATCCATTTTTTTAAAACTATATTTTCAAGAACATGTTGGGTATGCATCAAATATATATATACAACCTGTAAATAAAATATGTATCTGACTTAAACTCTATTTTACGAATTAGAAGTCAGGGTCGTATTGTAGAAACCCTAAGTCTAAATCTAGGTCTTAGTTAGTAAAAAAAAACTCTGCCAAAATCTGTGTAATGCAAAGAAAACATCGTATACCCTAAAAATGAAAATAAAAGAGAGAGCGGTGAAGATATATATATATATTTTCTAATGAATGAGATGTATTTGTACATGCCTTTTACCCAAACAAAATATATCGCCATGAAAATAAACGATAGTTCGGTGCCTAACCCTAGGGACAGAACACCTTATAATATATATATATATATAGTGAAATCATTACGACTAGCTACCAATACGTGTAAATTGAATACAAGATCTAGCTTCATCAATTTTCAATTACCTATGTTTGAAACGACATATATTATACTAAATATTATAAATATCATAATTATTTAACCGAATGTTTTTTAAGTGTTAAAAATAATGAACAGCTGTTGAACCTAGATTTTACCATTGGTAAGAAGAAGATCATAGGAATGAGTCATTCCCTTTTCATCGATCCCCAAAGGTCAAAGACTCCCTACTCAGATGTGACTTACCCAGCTTCAATTTCTCTATACCTCTATATAAAATATTCAAATAAAAAAAAAAGATTTTTTTTCTATATTTAATCTTTACTTTTATATGTGTACTCATCTTGTGGTTGTATTAAGCTATTAACCTCTAGATTTGCTATCATTTTGAATGGAACAAATATCACAGAAACATTAGGATAATGTTAACATATCGGAGTAAAAGGAGAAAACAAGAACCCTAATCCAAGGGCGTATCCATCTGAACTGTGTTCCCGAGTTAGGGAGGGTTAAAATTGACATATAAAGCTTGTGATCTTTTTATGCATATCTCTTTAATTTGTAAATCAAATGTTGCATGCAATCAATTTTCTATTAAACAGTTTACATTTTGTCAAACCAAACAGAAAACATAAAAGTGGTTCTAGGGTTCACTTAACCCCTGCTAGCCCTAAAACCTCCCTGTTTTTTAATTAATTAGCATAAACAAGTAGACATATATTCCTCTACGTAGAAAAGCAAGATTTTGGCAGTCATTAGCAAGTTAATCTCAAGCCCTACGTGCTACAAATCTAGCAATTTTTAGCAAGGATTTTGGTGAAACTGTTTAAAGGGTCATTGAAACCCTTTACCTTAAACAGAAGGATCACCAGGGAGAAAAGCAGTATCGAAGAAAACCCTAATTAGGGTTTATCAAAACAAACAAGAAAACAACTTTACCAGAAATGAATAAACAAAAGGGAGAAAATCAAGATGTATAATTATTACCAAGAATCAGTAGAGTACTCGAACAATTTCCCTTTATGGGAGAAGACAATAAGAGCAACTTCGGCATCACAAAGAACAGAGATCTCATTAGCCTTCTTCAAAAGACCTGCCCTTCTTTTCGAGAATGTCACTTGTCTATTGATCTTATTCTCTATCCTCTTCAGCTGAACCCTTCCTCTTCCCATTTTTTTTTTAAATTTCCCCTGAAAATCTAAAAGACACAATCTTTTCTTTTCCTACTTTCTCTAAAAGAACCAAACAAACGAGCCCCAAGAAGAAGTAGAAACTACAAGAGAAAGGGAAAGGAAAAGAAAGAAAGAGAGAGAGAGCTCAGGTTTTCATGTGATCCAAACGGGAAAGTATTTCTCTTTTCTTTTTTAAAACTGATGCCGCAGTGTTTTGTGGAGCTCATTTCACTCTTTATTTATGGAGAAATTGGGAAAGGCGGTTTAGGGAAAGTTAAAGCCGGTTTTAGTAGGAAACCAGAGTAGTTTTTTAAGGATGTGCTGTCGACTTCTCATTGGTCCGACTGTACCATTGTAGGGTCCACCTTTTATTTTTTAACGTCAAATTAAAAGAGTAAAAAAAAAACCAACAGTAGCGAGAGATTTGGGTCTCGTGAAGAGAACTTGGGTCAGTGACAAGTAACGTGGTACGGACTACGGAGCTTCCACAAGTGTCACCTTAGCTTTGCGTTGACGGCGGAGATTGCTCTATTGATCTCCCAAGTTTGATCAAAGCCAATGAAATTTTATTTATAAATTTTATTGGTTGTTTTTGTGAGAAAGCTGTGGCGAAAGCAACTGTAGAGGGTTTAATGCTGCAACAGTGAAGTACAATTAGACCTTTCTTGCTACAGCCTAAAATAAAAAAAACAATTCTTTTTTATTTTTCAGTCGGTAGATTTGCATATCTAATTGTATGAAAAACGACAAAATAAAAGAATATTACCGTGAAAATATCCTTATATTTAAAATATTTTCCAATGATGTGTTACAAAATGTGATGATGTTGTTTACATTGGTTATGCCTGATATATATATGGCAATCAACTCTCCAAAGTTAGATATTTATTCTGTACAACACGTCCAGTTCAAGGCTACGAGACATTTTTTTGTTGTTAATTTGTATTTTTGTTTTTGTCAAAGATTGGTATTTCATTTACTTTCAAAACTATACAAAGGTTTGTCAAAACTGTAATTGGTATTTGTATTGATAGAAGAAGATTTACGAGAGATGTTTTTATAACTTGAAAGTTCATCGAACCTTTGGTCAGATTATATCTTCGAGCGGACCGGAAAAATCAATGTGAATGTCACTCCTCAAATGAGTATTCGAATCCGGTTTGGGAGGGAGTTTTGATTCTTTTTCTTTACGGATTGAGCTACTCAATCTTTTTTTTTTGGATAACCGGGTTTCCTGTACCGAGGCCCAGACTAATCCCGGGACCAGGAACCAGTCATGTGATTTGAATTATGCACTCCCTCTCCAGCCTGGGATTCGAACTCGGGACGGGACACGAGCTACTCAATCTTGGTTTATAAGATATGTTATAAGTGAACAAGAGATGTTTTGATGCATAGGTTTTTTTGTCTTTTGGATTCAGCTTATGCATGGTTCTAGGATTTTGAGTTTTTATGTTTATAGAAATCTCGTGTAAATGTATGTGTTTGTAGAAATCTGTATGGTTACATAAATTAAAATACAAAATTAGACGGTTACTGAAAAATGGTGTGTGAAAGAATTATTACGAATGTCTCACATTAAAAAAAAACTAGAAAAAAAATGAATTTTGAAAATCTTTGAAAACAACATGAAATTGTCTTCCACTTTCAAATTAAAAATGAACTTTTAAAATCTTTCCAAATTCTCATCAACCTGTTAAGTTGTTGAAGTCTAATGTGATTAATTGGAAATTTAACGAGACTGTCACGTCAGTATGTACAAACTATATCACAAAAGATTTCAAAAGAAGTATTTCTTAAATATAACATATATATACATATACATAAACAAGTGAATATAAAACAAAATATATGAGTTTAAAATATTGCTCTTATTTTTTAAATGAGATATCATTCTACTACTCCTAGACTCGAATGACAATTTTCCAGAAATTTATTGACACGGTTTTTTCTTGTTTTTATTTTTTCTAAAAAAGAAAAGTCCTGATGAACAAAACTTATTTTATAACAAGTTGTTAAATAACAAGTTTAGTGGGCTTTAGTCTTTACCCATTGTATTAAATATGAAAATTTAAAAAGAAAAAGAAATGTTGTGGCCCAACACCCATATCTCATAAAGAGGTTCTGGTAAACGGTACTGTAGAATTAGATGACTATTTGTACAGCTCATATTTATATTTTTATATACATACGTAAATACATATGTATTATTTTCCCAGAAAAAGTTCGTTTCTACATAACGTTTTTGGAGCCGTGTTCATGAGAAATCTACGTGTAAGAATTTGATTTTTTTTTTTTATAATTTTATATAATCTCCACTATATGTTCATGAGAAATCTACGTGTAAGAATTTGATTTTTTTTTTTTGCATCATGATATTATTTTATTCGCGTAAAACCACCGAAGAGAATCGGATACTTTTATAACCAAAACTATAGGTTGGGCCAAAAGTAATTCCGGAGGTAAAAGAGTAAACTCCCATTTTATTACCATATAGAGAAACACAAGTTCCAAGTAAAACATTCGAAAGGAAAAGAATCAAAACAAAAAAAAAATAGGGAAAAACTAAAAGAATCTAAAGCTCGTGGGTGGTGGTCTTAATACGTCATCCAATATTTATCCATTTCATCTCCACCCTTCCTTTTGCTCTTATTTCGCATCCTTTGTCCAATAATAATACGCCTTGTCCATTAAAGTTTGATAACTACTCCACTTGATGCCCTTTTCATACCATGTGGGTTCGTTATGTATGTATGTATGTATGTTTCCCTATTGATCATGTGTATGTAACTATATGATATATATAAATATTTATATAGCTAGATAATATGACATGATTATACGATAATATTGTTTAACACTGTCATACATAGAACTGTTGATCCGATTAACTTGCCGATTTTAGGATTGGATGCGAATTTTCCAACAATGAGCATTGAGTTATATGTTTAATGGATATGAGGTGTTCACCATTTAACAAAATGATTCTTTATTTGGCAGATGAATCTATCTTTTTTCTTTTATTTTAGGAGAATTTTAGTCGAACTAGAGTGAAGCACCTAACAGATCGTGGACGAGTGGTCAAGTTTGAGATAGGAGATAACTCCACCTTGAGGTTGAATGTTTGATTCCTGGCTGGTGGGGAGAGAGGTAATTTCTGGGTTTATATAATACATATACAAAGGGTGTTCCCGGACCGAAGGTTTACCTAGTCAGCTCGTCCGAAAGGTAGCAGCTAGGGATCCTCCATTATTAAAAAAAAAAAAAACTAGATTGAAGCAATTTTTTTGAATTTATTATAATTAATCACAATATATATATATATATATATATTGTATGTTTTGAATTTATTAGGGGTTATTACTCAATGGTCTGACGTGATAAATATAATTGTTAATTAATAGTTTCATATGTTTATTGTTAAAACTCTAATTAAAAATATATTATTAATGGAAATACCTATATAATATTGCTCTGCTAGGCAATAAGTCTGGTTTGGGATAATGCGAAATGAATGATTGTGACAACGAATTACATATGTGTAAGTGTCTAAATGTCAAGAAAATGCAAGACAAGTACAAAATAAAGTCGTGAACCGTAATAATCAATTTTTAATGTTTTATAGGATAGATTAATGGTATATATATGGTTGGGCTACAAATTCCTTGTATTGTCTAAGTAAAACATTTGAGTAATAAATTACTTATAATTTCATTTAAAACATTTGAAGTAGTCAAGATTAATTGATGTTTTCATTTAAAACATTTAAGTCAATTTTAATCGATTTATCATTGTCACCCATGTATGACATTTAAGCCTCCTCTCACTGGTGCCCCACAAAATTTGAGAGGACATGATATTTTTATTTTAGATATATGATGTTTCATATTATACTAATAAAATGTTTTTAAAATGTTTAAATTCTTTATTTTATTTTATTAGTGTTACTGTTCATTTTTTAATTTATATTTGAAAAAAGTTTTTCAAATTCACATGATTACTAATTAAACGTCCTGTTCATCATAGCCCTTAGTTTCAAAGCATGATGGACATGCATTTATTTTAGTAATTATGAGAATTATACATTATAACACTTAGTCAAGACTCAAGACTATGATTGCAATAGTGATAAATGATAAATTGCAGGTGAATTCAAATATAATTTCATCTTACAAACGATTTTACTTTATGGTATGGATGGAGTCTCTGAAGTTTTTAAAATTCAAAAACCAACAAAATTAATAATTAAGATTTTATAAATTTAATTTTTCTAAAAAATTAAAAATTACTTTAATGAAAAAATAAACCAAAAAATTCATTTTTTATTTACAAATATTATAAAAACTAAAAACCACATATCAAAATCTAAAATCCAAAAACCAAAAACTAAATCCAAAAACTCAAAATAAAAACTATAATCATTCATAAAAAAATTATAAATATCTAGCTTAATTACAGACTTAACAGTATAATGATCAAAAACATATTTATTTATTATTTTTTTTAAAGCATTGCCTCTTATTATAGGAAAAAGAATTCACTTCATCCAGACCTTTAAATATTTATTTTTCATATTTCCTTTTTTCTTTCTCGTTTTCGTTTCGTTGACCGTACTGATCGTATGACCCTCAAACTTACCATGCTATTATAAGATTTTGAGACCACGCGACCTTAAAATCATGAGATTTATGTGACTTTGAGTCTATAATATTCATGCAACTGTGAAACTCTGAAACTCATACAACTCTTAGCCAGTGAAACTCATGTGATTGTGAGACTAAGATGTATTCGACTCTAAAATTCATATGACTCTGAGATTGTGAGACTCTAAGACTCATGTGACTTTTAGACTATGAGACTCATACGATTGTGAGACCATGATATCTAAGTTATTTATAGACCCTAACTCATACGATCCGTACATTTTAAAATTATTTTATACGATCCTTCTGACTTAGTAATAACCTTAAACTTATTGTTCTACCACTCGATTTTCGCAACTCCAAAACTTTCTCTTTTCATATTTTATTTTGGTGATAAATAAGCATGTTGAAGAAGATGATACCCTAATTTTCTTCAAAATCACATCCTTTCTCTTGAAATCTCATATCTTCTCTTGCTTCCCTTCAAAATCGTTTGTCTTTCGCTTTCTGTCAAAATCTTGAAAATTAAAAATTATGAGCTGTTTTTTAGACTCCTTTGATAAATGAAAAGTTTTATTTTCCTCCATTTTTGTTGAAATTTTTTTACTATATAGAAAGAATAAATGAGGGACAGGTACGTTAAATGATGAGATTTTAATGAGAGATAAATGTTATTTTGTAGATTTTTTTATAAAAAAGAAATAGAGTTTGAGTAATATAATGGTTGAAGTCAAAATAGCGGGGGTATTTTTGGTATATTGCTTTAATAGAAAATAAATTGGTTAAAATCCAATTAAAAAACATATTTGTTTATAAAGTTTAAATAAATAAATTTCTAATAAGCAACTAGTTGAAATGGAATCCGAATATAACCCTTAAATGATATTTTTTTCATAATAAAAAATCATAAACCGAAAAAAACCAAGTTTTGGGCCCAAAAGCAAAATAAAAGGCCCAAATAAAAATAAAATCATGATGTCGTTTAGAGTTGCCCAAACAATCGAACCCATTGTGCCCTTAAGAGTCGTTTAAACATCAGTAAAATATACCACTCCAAATTAAGTTAAAAGTAAATTATTTTCTTTAACTTATTTTAGATTATAAAAAGCTAATTTCTTGATTGGAATTGTTGAACCTGGCTCGAAGTTTGGTAAGAAGCTGAATCAAGAAAAAACTCTAGAGTAATCAGAGGTTTACAAGGGACAAAATGATAAATGGCCGAGGTAGATGATAACCAAATTAATGACAACACGCGTGACACCTACGTGATCATCGTCTCCCTCAGTATAAAAATAGAGTAGGTGAACAACGATGAGATAATTCTGATATAACGATCGGTTTTTTTTAAAGTAAATTTAATTGGGGTTGATTAATAAAATTAAAAAGTTTAGAGAAAATTATTATTTTATAGGGATCTTTTAGTACCAAATAAAAGTTTATGAAAAAAATTTAAAAATTTATAAAAAAAATAGAGAATTAAATTGTAAATTCTTTTAGGTTTATTCTCTTATAACCCTAATTTTTTTACTTTTGCCGTCATTACTCTCCCTCTCTCCCTTTCTCTCACTCCCTCATCCTCTCTCAAGTACGCAGGTACATGTCCCCCCTCTCTCTCTCATCATCTCTCTCATATATGGGTGCACCTCTTCATTTATTTTACTTTTTATATTATTATTAAATATCATCATCATCACCATCTTCACCGTAATTCTTCTTCTTCCTCTAATTATTATTATTATTATTATTATTATTATTATTATTATTATTATTATTATAATCATCATTATTATTGCTATCGTTATTATTATAATAATTATTACTCTTTCTCTCCGTATTACGTATTAAATCTTTTCGATTCTATAATTCCAATTAAAAAAATGATGATGATTTAATTGTGTATAATTATAATTAAGATTATTATATATTAAATAATTATAGGTGAAGAAAATTTCAAGGTTGTTGAACCCGAGATCGAGGAGTAGAGCGAATCTTTCGGATTCATCGTTTAGATCGAGGTGAGAGAACTCGACAGAACTCCTCTTTCTTCTATTCTCTTAGACATGATGATAGAAAATATAGATATCATGCGGTTAGGACTTTAGAATATACACCTTAAATTTTTTTGTGAATTTATTATGTATGTTGATTGATGATTGATGATTGATGAATGATGATTAACGATTGATGATTGGTGAATAATGAATGATGATTGATGATTGATAAATTTCTGTTGAGTGATTATGGTTCATGACGTACATGTTATGTGATGACATTTCTTAATAGATTATTAGATCGTTAGAATGAGTTAAACTTTTGATATTAACTAAATTTTGGCATGATGTTTGGAAAGATGAGAAAAGTAAAGAACTGAGTTAGGGACTAGAATGTGACCTCAGACTGTGCTAAAAATATTTTAAAAGTGAGTTTTGAGACCATGGCACGACGGCGATCCGTATGTGATGCTATGATAACAACCTGGGCATGGCAACGATCCATGTGGAGTGATAACTTCGACTACGGCGGCGATCCGTAGAGAGTTATTGCTATTAGTTGAGTTTTGAGGCCATGGTACAGCAGGGATCCGTATGTGATGGCGGGCATGACAGCGATCCATGTGGAGTGGTAATCCCGATTACGGCGGCGATCCATAGAGGGTTATTACTATTGGTCATGTTTTGATAACCCCGACTACGACAGTGATCTGTAGAGGGTTATAACGATATTTTTGGTTTTGTTTTATAAAAAGAGTTTTAAGCTAAGTCTGAAGGGTACTGAATGGTCCTAGAGTTTGGACTCGTTTTAAAGAATCGAACAAAGAAAAGTTAGGAGAAGAACGTGAAACGATAGATTGAGTTTTGTTTGAGTTGAATGTTGATTGGATTTGTTTTCTATTTGATTGTCTATTCTGGGTACGGAGGCGAGGTTTATAGTCTTGCAACCTTACTGAGCTATTCACATAGCTTACCCCTTACTTTTTCTCCACAGGTGAAAGGTGAAGCAGATTATTTTGGTTGGATTCGATAGTTTGCTAGAAAGACGAAGATTTAGAATTTCTATTTTCTTTATTCAATTTATTCATGAAATTAATATTCAGACTTAAGTTATTGAAATTCATTGTTTTAAACTTCCGCTGTAGAGTCTGATTTTGATGGTTGATTTTAGAATAAATCGGATTTTTTTATAATCCAAGTGACGTTAAGTTATTGAAATTCATTGTTTTAAACTTCCGCTGTAGAGTCTGATTTTGATGGTTGATTTTAGAATAAATCGGATTTTTTTATAATCCAAGTGACGATTCAACGATATCCGAAATACCGGATTTTGGATCGTTACAAATGGTATCAGAGCCCAATCTTTCCATCGGACTTTAAGAATAATCCTTATCTTGCAGTAAAGACTTAGTTCATGGTAATACAACCATTCTAATAGAGTTTTGTCATAATGTGAACGAGGATGACATGGTTATGGACGAGGATGTCCAATCCTAAAGGATGGGAGATATATCTTCTGAAAGAAGTATTAGTAAGTTAGAGCACAAAAGAAGATGACAGTGTGACTTATTCACATCCAACAAGGACATCGCACAATGAAAGAATAAGTGAAAATTCAATTAGTTATCTAGATATGGAAATATGAGATGTTGTAGTTGGAGATCTTAAGGATTAAGAAGTTCATAAGGGGACTTTGTTATTCTCTCAAGGTAAAGTTAGAACTTCTTTTTAATCAATTCAATGTCAGAAATAGTGGATATGGATGGTCGAAATGAGAAAACATCACGTGAGATCAAGACATCGACGTCTTGTCCATGATTATAAAAGTAAGGGAAAGGTTTTTATGCACTCTTCTGTAGTTGAGACTTCGATGTACTTACGAGGTGGAAAGCGAAATTTAGACGAATGTAGGTTGCTCTTCATCACTTGTTACTGTTGTAGAAAGGTTTGATTTTACTGGAGTGTATATTTGGAGTTGAAAAGGGAAGCACCTAAAAGGATAGAACAAAGACCACCGCCACAACTACCAGCTTGTAAGAGACAAGTAGAGAATTCTAAAGTCTATACAATAGGAATTAAGAAGCAAGATGGAAAAGAAACAACAGTAATCATAGATACGTTTTGGTAAAGAGGCGACATATGATTTTATTTCGCCTACATAGATCGTATGAAGATTGCACATAATATTAATGGTGGTATAGTATTGGTCCATACTCCTAGCGATGAGAAAATGAGATCAAAAGGACTTCTTTGTGATGGATCGGTGATTATTGGTATACATGACTTACCTATTGATCTGATAGTGGTACCAATCAAAGGATACGATGTGATTTTGGATATGGATTGGTTATCAAGTCATCGAGCTCACTTGGATTGTAAGAGAGGTAGAGTTCATTTTGAACAAGAGGGATCCTTGGTACTAGAGTTTGAGGGTGTAAGAAAGACTTCAAGTTTGCCTTTTTTTCAGCCGTGCGGATAACCCGGCTAATTCAACAAGGAGTGAGGCATATTTGACAGTAATAGAATTAAACGGACCGGAAAAATCAAGTAGACTAGAAGATATAGTGGTTGTTAAAGATTTTCCTGATGTTTTTTTCCGGAAGATCTACATGGAATACCTCCTCTAAGAGAGATATCTTTTCCTATTGAGTTGAAACAGGGAGTTGAACCTATCTCTAGAGCCCCTTATCGTATGACTGCTTCAGAAATGGCTGAGTTAAAGAATCAATTGGTGGAGTTGATTGGAAAAGGTTTTATAAGACCTAGCACTTCTTCTTGGGGTGCTCCTGTACTATTTGTTAAGAAGAAAGATGGGAGTATGAGATTATGCATCGATTATCGAGGATTGAATCAGGTAACAATAAAGAACAAATATCCACTTCCAATAATTGATGAGCTATATGACCAACTTCAAGGTGCTAGCTGGTTTTCGAAGATTGATTTACGATCAGGTTACCACCAGATACGTGTTCTAGATGATGATATAAAGAAAATTGCTTTCAGAACAAGGTGTGGACATTTTGAATTTGTTGTCATGCCATTTGGACTTACTAATGCACCTGCAGTTTTTATGGAGTTGATGAACACAACATTCATGGATTATTTAGACGGGTTTGTTATCATCTTCATTGATGACATCCTTGTGTATTCCAAATCTCGCGAGGATCATATGATACATTTGGAGAAGGTGTTAAAACACTTAAGGAGAGAAAAATTATATGCAAAGCTGAGTAAGTGTGACTTTTGGATGCAAGAGGTAGGATTTTTGGGGCATGTGGTGTCTGCGGAAGGAGTGAAAGTAGATCCGTCCAAAGTGTCGACTATACTTGATTGGGTGAGACCGTCTAATGCCACAGAGATCCGAAGCTTCCTCAAATTGGCTGGGTATTACAGGAAGTTTGTAAAGGATTTTGCCAACCTGTCTAAGCCATTGACGAGACTGACATGAAAAGGTGTGAAGTTTAAATGGGACCAAAAATGCGAGATAAGTTTTGAAGAATTGAAGAAGTGATTGATACTGTTGGGTTTCCTAGGATCTCTAGAGTGACTCCTATTCCTAAGAGATCGATTCTAGGATTTGCGCAGCGGATGTAAAACAAAAATTTTATGAAACCCTATAACCATGCTTCTTATGAATCGTAGAAAAGTAAGAACGCTTACCTCAATCGATCTGGGGCATGTATCAATTGAAGAGCTCGTTCGATCACGAAAGGGAGGAAGAATACCTCGCCCTCTACATGTATCCACACCTCGGGATGGATTCCAACGATTGGAACTTGTCTGCTAGGACCCGAATCGGCTATTCGGTTTTGTGCTTCGAGAAAACGGGACTTCGATCACATTTCGAACCTCTTGGATCTCACCAAAAGTCTGTCAAAAGTGTTCTAAAGTCGACCATCATTCATTAGGGTTTAATCTCCTTCTTATAAAGTGATTTAATCCTAATTTCGGTTTAATTTTCGAAAAACCCGAAGCCCGGAACGGACGGTCCAGAAATGCACGTGGACCGTCCGTTCCGGCTATGCAGAACGGACGGTCTGCGTCACGTGGACCATCCGTTCCAGACCTTATGGAACGGACAGTCCGTTCTGGACCGTCGGGTCTGGACCTGGCGGATCGTCGGGTTTGGCCTTTCCGGTCCGTCCGTTCCAGGCCCTTTTGTCTTCGTTTTTCCGTCATTTTCTCGTGCATTTTTGTCCTTCCCTGCGTATGTGACCCTGTAGGCTCATTCGATATGGCAGTATAACCCGAAATCTCTATTTCGGATATACAAGTCATAGTCGGTCTCTAGAAAGACACTATGACTACCTATCTCGAATAGAGTTTGTTCGTGATCTTACGAACGCCAGTGATGATTCCGGCTGATGATCCTTTTGTATCGCGATATCATATGTCGAACATAAGGCATGGATAATCCACCTTATCTGATTCGACTGCTTTCTCGTTCACCGAGTTCGATTGTCTGAAATAGACGACGTTCGTTTATAGTGTGGCCACACATTTCTACAGTTTCGCTTACACGAGGGGCCCAACGATATCTCTCTCTTTTACGAGAGGTACAAATCTCGTCTTGACTATCTACAATCCAGCACATGATTCGTTTCGTACCTGATACACGCCTTTATAATCCTCCTGTTACGCATGACGTTTGACGTATTCAAAGCACACAACTCCTCATGTTGGATTCTGTAGATATCTCAGGTCTTAGGATCCAATCATAGAACCGCCATATGAGATTCAAGTCATGAGGCTAGTCTATGTGACAATCTCATGCGAGTCAATCCAGTATTCCGTTCTCCAACGAATACCTATGATCGTGATCGTATCCAATACCTATGATCATCTCTATGATCATCAATCACACATCATACTAGTCTTATTATATCATTATTCCCACAATGATATACGACTAGGGAGTTTAGTATTGTTCATAACAATACATGGATTTCATAACATATCAAGTATGCACAATACGTAATGAATCAAACACTCATCTAAAACTCATAGAAAGTGTCAATACATCAAATGTATCTAAATAAAGCTCGCATAACAGTACATCATAGAGCACTAAACCAACAGATATCAGCTCCTATTTTGGCATTACCAAAGCCCGGAAAACCGTTTGTGGTGTATAGTGATGCATCTCACCAAGGGTTAGGATGCGTATTGATGCAAGAAGACCGAGTTATTGCGTATACATCACGTCAACTACGAAAACATGAAGAAAACTATCCTACTCACGATTTAGAACTTGCAGCAGTGATTTTCGCACTCAAGATTTGGAGATCTTACCTATATGGAGAAAAAGTTGAAGTATATACTGACCATAAGAGTCTCAGTGTTCTCGCAAAAGGAACTTAATTTGAGACAGCGCAGGTGGATGGAACTAGTGGCAGATTATGATGTGGATATTGCCTATCACCCTGACAAAGCTAATGTGGTTGCAGATGCCTTGAGTAGAAAGAAAGTTGAGTTATCTACTTTGAGATTGTAGAGTGACCTAATGACTCAATTGAGTTTAATGCAGATATCAGCTCAGAAAAATCAGGGTGGGTTGGAAACTAGTGCTATAAAATGGGATAGTTGGCTGGAAAAGGTGAAAATGACTCAAGAAACAGATGAAAAGATGAAAAAATTGATGGAAAAGCCTGAAGATTTTACAAGGGCAGGTTATTCCACTTCCAATGATGGGTTGATACTGTTGAGAGGTCGTGCTTATGTGCCTAAAGATGAAGAGTTGAGGAAAGAATTATTGAAAGAGGCGCATAATACGCGATATTCCATACATCTGGGTGCTACAAAGATGTATCGGAATTTGAATCAGTACTTTCTTTGGCATGGCATGAAAAAGGATATTGCAAAATTTGTTACTCATTGTCTAACGTGTCAGCTAGTTAAAGTCGAGCACCAGGTACATGCAGGAAAACTACAGTCGCTATCGATACCTCAGTGGAAATGGGACTTGGTGACGATGGATTTTGTAGTTGGTTTGCCAAGGACACCAAAGGGAAATGATGCGATATGGGTTATTGTGGACCGTTTAACTAAGACTGCACATTTTATCGCGATTAAAAAGACATTCTCAATGCCTCGTTTAGCACAGGTCTACATAGAAGATGTGGTAAGACTTCATGGAATCCCTACTAGTATTGTGTCGGACAGAGATCCACGATTTACTTTGAGATTTTGGATAAGTTTTCAAGAAGCTATGGGCACTAAGGTACGATTGAGTACAACTTATCATCCCCAAACTTATGAACAATCAGAGAGAACGATACAACCGCTACGCTAGAGGATATGTTACGTGCATGTGTATTGGATTGGGGAGGAGAATGGGATCGTCACTTACCACTGGTGGAATTCGCTTACAACAACAGTTTTCATTCAAGTATCGAGATGTCACCCTTTGAGGCGTTATATGGAAGATCTTGTAAGACACCTCTTTGTTGGACAGAAATCGGGGAAAGACGATTGTTGGGTCCTGATATAGTGGAAGAAACCACAAACAAGATTAAGGTAATCCAGAAACAGATGAAGGCAACACATGATAGATAGAAAAGTTACGCGGATATACATATACGTGATATAACTTTTCAAGAGAATGACGAAGTATTTTTCAAAGTACAAGCAACTAAAGGAAAAGCACGCTTCGGAATGAAGGAAAAACTAAAACCCAGATTCATTGGACCTTTCAAGGTATTGAGTAAGATAGGAGCAGTGTCTTATAAGATTTTCTTACCTCCAGAGTTGGCTCAAGTTCATGATGTGTTTCATGTATCAATGTTTCAGAAGTATCATCCTGATCCTGATCACATTGTTAATTATCAACCGCTTGAGTTAAAACCGGATGGACTTATGAAAAAGAACCTATCGAGATTGTTGAACGGAAGGTTAAACAACTACGGCGAAGAGGAATTCCTCTAGTAAAGGTCGTATGGACATATCATAAAGGAGGAGATGCGACTTGGGAGTTGGAGGACGAAATGAAGGCTCGTTATCCCTACCTTTTTGGTAAGAAAAATCGTACATACTATATTAAATCGTTCTAGAATTCGGGACAAATTCTTCTTTTAAGGGTGGTGAAATTATAACGATCGGTTTTTTTTAAAGTAAATTTAATTGGGGTTGATTAATAAAATGAAAAAGTTTAGAGAAAATTATTATTTTATAGGGATCTTTTAGTACCAAATAAAAGTTTATGAAAAAAATTTGAAAAATTATAAAAAAATAGAGAATTAAATTGTAAATTCTTTTAGGTTTATTCTCTTATAACCCTAGTTTTTTTACTTTTGCCGTCATTACTCTCCCTCTCTCCCTTTCTCTCACTCCCTTATCCTCTATCAAGTACGCAGGTACATGTCCTCTCTCTCTCTCTCTCTCGTCATCACTCTCACACATGGGTGCACCTCTTCATTTATTTTATTTTTTTATATTATTATTAAATACCATCATCATCACCATCTTCACCGTACTTCTTCTTCTTCCCCTAATTATTATTATTATTATTATTATTATTATTATTATTATTATTATTATTATTATTGCTATCGTTATAATTATTATTATTCCCTTTCTCTGCGTATTACTGATGACATGTATTTTGGTGACATTTTGGTATAGGATGTCTAGTGCATTTTACTCGGTTTTGCATATTTATAGGCATTCTAGAGCACATTTGGTCTCGATATTGCTTGGTTGCTTTCTTTGGTGTCAAAACAGAAATTCATGCATAAAAGAGAGCAAAAGGAGTGGAAAACATGGACTACGGAACATCACAGACGAAACGGA